CCCTCTGGTAGGCTTAATATGCCCCGGCCACGAGATGTAATCGATCCCGGATATGAAGGATGCATTGTAGAATTGATTTTCGTGAAAAAAAAGTGGTGTTGATTTGAAGAAAAATTGAGTATTTTAATTTTCAAATTTCCATGTGCGTTTCCTATAGGTAACTTTCGCTCCCTCTGGTAGGCTTAATATGCCCCGGCCACGAGATGTAATCGATCCCGGATATGAAGGATGCATTGTAGAATTGATTTTCGTGAAAAAAAAGTGGTGTTGATTTGAAAAAAAATTGAGAATTTTAATTTTCAAATTTCCATGTGCGTTTCATATAGGTAACTTTCGCTCCCTCTGGTAGGCTTAATATGCCCCGGCCACGAGATGTAATCGATCCCGGATATGAAGGATACATTGTAAAATTGATTTTCGTGAAAAAAAGTGGTGTTGATTTGAAGAAAAATTGAGTATTTTAATTTTCAAATTTCCATGTGCGTTTCGTATAGGTAACTTTCGCTCTCTCTGGTAGGCTTAATATGCCCCGGCCACGAGATGTAATCGATCCCGGATATGAAGGATGCATTGTAGAATTGATTTTCGTGAAAAAAAAGTGGTGTTGATTTGAAAAAAAATTGAGAATTTTAATTTTCAAATTTCCATGTGAGTTTCGTATAGGTAACTTTCACTCCCTCTGGTAGGCTTAATATGCCCCGGCCACGAGATGTAATCGATCCCGGATATGAAGGATGCATTGTAGGATTGATTTTCGTGAAAAAAAAGTGGTGTTGATTTGAAAAAAAATTGAGAATTTTAATTTTCAAATTTCCATGTTCGTTTTCGTATAGGTAAGTTTCGCTCCCTCTGGTAGGCTTAATATGTATAGGTAACTTTCGCTCTCTCTGGTAGGCTTAATATGCCCCGGCCACGAGATGTAATCGATCCCGGATATGAAGGATGCATTGTAGAATTGATTTTCGTGAAAAAAAAGTGGTGTTGATTTGAAAAAAAATTGAGAATTTTAATTTTCAAATTTCCATGTGAGTTTCGTATAGGTAACTTTCACTCCCTCTGGTAGGCTTAATATGTCCCGGCCACGAGATGTAATTGATCCCGGATATGAAGGATACATTGTAGCATTGATTTTCGTGAAGAAAAAGTGGTGTTGATTTGAAAAAAAATTGAGAATTTTAATTTTCAAATTTCCATGTGAGTTTCGTATAGGTAACTTTCACTCCCTCTGGTAGGCTTAATATGCCCCGGCCACGAGATGTAATCGATCCCGGATATGAAGGATGCATTGTAGGATTGATTTTCGTGAAAAAAAAGTGGTGTTGATTTGAAAAAAAATTGAGAATTTTAATTTTCAAATTTCCATGTTCGTTTCGTATAGGTAAGTTTCGCTCCCTCTGGTAGGCTTAATATGTATAGGTAACTTTCGCTCTCTCTGGTAGGCTTAATATGCCCCGGCCACGAGATGTAATCGATCCCGGATATGAAGGATGCATTGTAGAATTGATTTTCGTGAAAAAAAAGTGGTGTTGATTTGAAAAAAAATTGAGAATTTTAATTTTCAAATTTCTATGTGAGTTTCGTATAGGTAACTTTCACTCCCTCTGGTAGGCTTAATATGTCCCGGCCACGAGATGTAATTGATCCCGGATATGAAGGATACATTGTAGCATTGATTTTCGTGAAGAAAAAGTGGTGTTGATTTGAAAAAAAATTGAGAATTTTAATTTTCAAATTTCCATGTGAGTTTCGTATAGGTAACTTTCACTCCCTCTGGTAGGCTTAATATGCCCCGGCCACGAGATGTAATCGATCCCGGATATGAAGGATGCATTGTAGGATTGATTTTCGTGAAAAAAAAAGTGGTGTTGATTTGAAAAAAAATTGAGTATTTTAATTTTCAAATTTCCATGTGCGTTTGGTATAGGTAACTTTCGCTCCCTCTGGTAGGCTTAATATGCCCCGGCCACGGAATGTGATAGATAGTGTGATAACACTGACAACACACAATGTATATAATTTTGTGTAGATACTATAACACCGTTTTATATGGGAAGAAGGTGCCGCACCGCCTGCTTACGCTGCGCCGGCTTCGCGGCTGTAGCGACGCGCGATGGTGTCCAGCGCGACGCGGCCGTTGGTGAGAAGAGGGACTATCGTTTGTTGCTGGCTGGCCGTTGTTGCTAGAGTCACCGCGGTATTTAAAATGGAATATACATATTAATCATGTAATAACCAATTTGAGACCATTATTGTTTAAATTCAAGTATATAAACAAATATTTGGATAAAAAAACAATGAAAATTTTATATTATGCTATGATCGAAAGTCGTATAAGTTACGCAATATTAGGTTGGGGTGGAGCACTTAATAATCAAATTAATAAATTAGAAATTATCCAGAACCAATTTTTAAAAATAATCTTCAACAAACCACTCTTATACCTATCTGTTCTGTTGTATTCTGAAGCAACTATTAGACCCTAGGCAACAATTTTTTTATAAAATTATAAATTATCAATTTCACGATAGAAATAACCTTATTCCGTTAGATCACTTATATCAAACTAGAAACAAAATCAACAACATTAAGCGAACACCTTTCACCTCGAAAAGTATAGGCCAAAGATGTCATACTTACCTTTCCAGTAGATTATATAACATATTACCAAATTATATAAGAAATGTTTCAAATAAAACGAAATTCAAAATTGAAACCAAAAAATTTATAATTGAAAAAAATCGACATCAAATTGCAAACATGATACGTGTGACAGATATTTAAAATTAATGTAATAGTAAAAACCCTCCAACGTTCACATACTCGTATATGTGTGTATGTATATATGTGTGTATATGTGCATCTACTTATGTGTTTATTTGTATGAATATACAGGGTGACTTTGAAGTTGAGTCATTAATTTTCAGATAATGAGTGTAGAAGGAAGATAAACCAAAATATGTGTGTAAAAATAAAAAAAAAAAAAATTGTTTACCTTGTTTTATAAAGTATCCTCCCGACAAGTATTTCAGTGCGGACCTGTATTTGATCGTGATGTCTTGGAGCACCGGCATGCAGTCCCCTGTGTAGTCTTAAGTCACCTAATTCACGAGCCCGTTGTACTACATTAACAAAGGCACGAGGGGTTGGTTGCATTCGATTGGGAAACCGATCCGCATAAACATGTGCCATTTTTTATTTCGTTTGAGCCACGCAACAGACACCAATATTCAAACGCGTTACCGATTGACACTGACTGTATACAACTGACTAAGAGCCGTTTTACACACAAGAGAATTACTCCGAAAATTATGGTCATAATTATGCCGAAAATTTGCATGGAAAAAATATTGAAGATTTTCTCTACAACCTGTATGACACAGGCAAACAAAATTTCCGAGTAATTCATATGATACGCCTGCGTATTAGAATATTTTCGAATGGACATAACCTTAACGGGTATGACGTCCAATATAATCGGAAAGACAACAGACGTCGTTGATTTAAATTTATTTTTGAAATCGAGATCTTTGTTAATATTATAAAACTTCTCAATGCTTGAACGATCGCAACAAGCGCCTGACGCCGTAAATTTCTATTTTTGTAATTGGGTGACTTCATCTTGTACAGGTTTGACCATTTTTGGTACCCCTCCAATAACAGTGTAACTTCTTCCCGATTCCACGACAGCATGAATAAACAATAACACTGAATGCTTCTTCGTACGACTCGAACAGGACCACACCCACAAATGTTAAGTGAGGTTATGTTGTTGGGTTGTTGACATTTGATAATGACATGCACGGAAATAACCCTCTGCGCCGATTCTCGCGCATATTCTATAGAACGGGTTTTATATTTTTACCATGAACATTTTCTTAAGAATTGTTTTACGTGTAATACATCAAAAATTTTCGGCATAATTATGAGCATAATTTTCGGAGTAATTCTCTTGTGTGTAAAACGGCTCTAAAATAATTGTAAAAACATCGTTCCAAATTCTTTCGCTTTTTTGTTTCCGATGCGATGAACCAAACACGAGCACATAATATTATTATTGAGACAGGGCGGTACTCAAACTTCCAAAGGGCTATAACTTTGTTACTTTAATTTTACCAGAAAAATGGTAAAGGAAAAAAACATTTATTTTGATCAGATCTACACACAGTTAAAATAAATGACTCAACTTCGAAGTCACCCTGTATATATATATATATAGGGTGACTTTGAAGTTGAGTCATTAATTTTCAGATAATGATTGTAGAAGGAAGATAAACCAAAATATGTGTGTAAAAATAAAAATTAAAAAAAAATGTTTACCTTGTTTTATAAAGTATCCTCCCGACAAGTATTTCAGTGCGGACCTGTATTTGATCGTGAGGTCCCCTGTGAGGTCTTAAGTCACCTGATTCACGAGCCCGTTGTACTACATTAACAAAGGCACGAGGGGTTGGTTGCACTCGTTTGGGAAACCGATCCGCATAAACATGTGCCATTTTTTATTTCGTTTGAGCCATGCAACACACTATTCACTGACACTGACTGTATACAAATGAATAAAATAATTGTAAAAACATCGTTCCAAATTCTTTCGCTTTTTTGTTTCCGACGCGATGAACCGATACGGCGGATTATATCCGTTGTCGCCAAACACGAGCACATAATATTATTATTGAGACAGGGCGGTACTCAAACTTCCAAAGGGCTATAACTTTGTTACTTTAATTTTGCCAGAAAAATGGTAAAGGAAAAAACAGTTCTTTTGATCAGATCTACTCACTGTTAAAATAAATGACTCAACTTCGAAGTCACCCTGTATATATCTGTGCCTTAAAGGTATATAGTTGTAACTCCATATAAAGCAATTCAGAGAACAAGCAAATTAAAGATTGAGTTAGTAGCAGAAAGGCTTTTTGTTCATGTTAATGTTAATATGCGAATATAGTTTTTTGGGGAAACATATTATATGGTAGACAGAACAGTAATGCTTCATGTTAATGATGTTAGAATTTGATATTCAGATTATTTTGTGAGTTACGACTATTTACTATGATAATAAAATCCAGGTGCAGCATAGGATGAACCACAGTAAGTACAATTGGTGGAAATAGGCTACATTTTATTATTACAAAAAATGACATCTGGAGAATGTATATACAATCGACGTCGTCGTCATCATCTCCTTGTTGACCCAGCACAGGAATATTTTTATAAAAATCATGAAATGCTTCTAGTATCCATTGCAGAAGCATGAGAAGATGATCGTGCTTTTTCTTGCTAAGTCCTTTTGGGGTTTGTCGCGGCGAACATAGTTCTAGTGGTAACCCTATCGGTTTTCTAGAGGATCTATTCATATTTACCATTTTGTAGTCCTCTTGGAATATGTCTGTTTTATAGTAGAGTATCCCTGGATCCTGTTTTCGAACCTTAAGTCACACCGCTAATGACACTAAAAAGCTTTCTTTGTCTACTGTCTGTTTCTTTTGAATGAGAGGTGATCCTGTGCCGGAATATAAGGCCTCGAAGTTCTTGAAGTCATCTAACTGCATCTCGAAAACTGTGGCTCCGGTTGATCTTATAAGTTGCTACCAGTCCCATGGCGTACATATTTTCATGGTTGGTTGTTTATTTATAACTCGTTCGATAAGTGTATGGATATGATCAGCTTACTTGCGTGTGTCCACGTAGAAGAAACTTGTGAATGATACACTTTAATGAAGGACTTATTTGTAATATGTAAAATTAGTTGACGATCATCATAATGCTCCTGTTTTGGCTCGGACACCTATAATATCAATTATGTTGTACTTACTAGATTCTCGAGAATCGATTTCCTCCTCCAGTGCAAGCTGCACTAATTTTTGAGCCCTTGAGGACATTATTACCGTTTTTTGGTTACTTTAGTACCTTGATCAACTTTGAAGATTGATTGAACAACACAATTTGTAAAGCAAGCGGTGCGCGACGGAGACACGACTGTTTACCGCTGCGTAGCGATGATTCATATGATAGTATTGTGCGAATGTATGGAAAAGCAACTGTTTACCTCTAACAAAAAATCAGTAGCTGCTTGTTCTATTTTATATATTTCATGATTATCGTGGTTAGGCGCTACAATCATTTACTCCACGTAAAGATTAACCAGGGATACTAATTATACGCAGACAATCACAAAAACTGCAAAAATGGACTTACGATCGTTTAACTCTAAGGCACAGATATATATGTATATATATATAGGTGAAAAATTAAAGCTTTCGCCTTTTGTTGGGTACTTCGACAAAATTTAAGCATATACTATATTTATACTTTTTTAATTCTCTCTAGCTTTCAATGGACTGCCATCATCAACAGGAGAGTAGTATGTGAGGATGTTGCTAATTGTTGTTTACGTATAGGATGAGGGAATCGCCCAGTAACATGGTGAAAGCTGGATAGATGGTACAATGGTCAAAATTATATAAAATATACACAATTGTGTGACAAGAACAAGTTAAAAACAGATGATATTTGTATGTTACGTGAATAAAAGGCCCCAGGACCGATCCTTGGAAAACACCCGCCTCAATAACCGAGAAATCGCGAACTTTCATCATTAATACGGAGGTATGATTGAAAAACATAGTCGAAAGCGCAGGAGAAGTCTAAGAATTTTATCAAGGGCTGTGATTGCGTAATCAGTAAAACTGTACACCGCAGTTCCAGTACTTTTACCACGGATAAAACCATGCTGAGTTTCCGAGATCACCATATTTCTACTGCAAAAATCAACCAGTTGTTCTTTCATATTAAGCTCAAAAACCTTTGAAAAACTTGATAGCAGGCTTATGCCCTATCCCTATTAGCACCAATCGGATCATTTCTTATATGGATTGATATCACTAACGCTAGTTTTAGAAAGCTTGGAAACTTCTCTTGTTCACATGACAAATTAATTAAAAACGATAGGAGGGTACATCTTTCTAAAACACATTTTTTAAGCAACTTATTTGAGACATCATTATATCTACAAGAATTTGAATTTTTTAACGGGGATACCAAATGAAAACTGTCATATACTGAAACTGGTGACATACGTATATAGGGAATTAAGACACATATCAGTATTATTCCTAGCAAAGTTCTGATCTAATTGAACATTGTTTCTCAAGACAGTGAATTGTTCATTAAATTTAGAAGCTGCAATAAAATCATCAATTTTCCGCCTCCCCTCGGTGATAATGACATTTTGATTACAATCTTTCTTTTTTATATTCTTAATAACCTGCCACATACACTTAGATTTGTGGTTAGCATCCCGGATTTTCTATTAATACCCTCACGTCTGGCTGTTTTTAATTTTTCTTTGTGTGATTTAGTTGAATGTTTACGGATTTACTTATATCTGCCATCCCTTTCCGCCATTGTTTGATATAATGTGACCAGGTTCCTCAAGTTTATCAGTTCTTTAGTTAAAACAGGTTTGTTTGGGCTTTTTGTAGTCTCTCTACGTTTGTAAGGAAAGCACAAAGTAAAATAGAACATACAAATGTTATGATAGGCTTCAAACGCCGTGTTAAAAGAATTTTCATTGTACACGTCCAGCCAATCTTCATGGAGTAATTTTCGACGAAATACGTATATTTATATTTTCTTCAGAGCAATAAAACATCTTTTTCTTTGGCATTTTTCCACAGACATCAATACGTACATATTATCTGACAATAGTGATCTGAGATACAGCACTTTTGAATAGATACCATAAAGTTAGACTGAATATTAGCTAGAAAATTATCAAGGCATGCGATTTCATGAAAGTGATCCTAGTAGGTACATTAACTATAAAATCCATTCCATAACATCTTACTATGAGCGTCACTATTTATATTTTGAGCCGACAACATCATCTGACGTTTCCTTCAAATTGCAAGTTTGAGATTTTTAAATATAAGCTTCATCAGAACATTTTGTCATTTCAGCACGATTTATGTTGTTGATAGCGATTTGAAAACTGTGTCTCAGTGAAATTGAATTGACTCGTGAACATTTTCGAGCGATGATCAATTACGACTTTCGACGTGGATTATCAAGGCAGGAATGCATCGATCAACTTACTTCGACTTTGGGTAATGAAGCCCCATCCTTTGCCACTGTGAAACGATGGTATAACGAATTTAATCGTGACCGCCATTCTCTTAGTGACGAAAGTCGTGAAGGACGTCCAAAATCAATTGGTGTGCGAGAAAACACCGATTCTGTGCAAAAACTAATAATGCAAGATCGTCATGTGACATATTGTGAGATTGAGGCAGCCTTAGGCAAAGAGGCTCATGTCGATTGGTGCAAACAGATGCTCGAAAAATACAATGGCTGTGCTTCAAAAGATTTTAACAGGTGATGAATCATGGATCTGTGCTTATTAGCCGGAAAGAAAACAGCAGTCGACTGTTTCAACACGAGCCAAATCCGACAAAGGTTCGTCGCGCACGAAGCACTTCGAGACAAATGGTCGCCTGGTCATTTGGCAACAGTACCTTTAGATTTAGAGGAACTCTGTTAATTTTGAATGTTATACAACTGTTTGTTTGCCGAAAGTCTTCGATGAAATAAGGAAAACCAACAAGCGCCGTCGGATCATTCTTCATCAAGACAATTCGAGCTCTCACGTCTCTCGTGAAACAATGGACCATTTGAGCACTTAGAATATTGATTTAATGGGTTATTCTCCATACAATCCCGATTTGGCACCCAATGACTTCTTTTTGTTCCCATACGTTAAGAATAAATTGCGTGGACAACGATTTTCGTCGACAGAAGAAGCTAATGATGAGTTAATAAAGAATGTTTTGAAGATATCTTAAGCGGAGTGGAAAATGTGTTATGAAAAATGGTTCGAACGCATGAAAAAGTGTATAGATCATAATGGAGAATATTTTGAAAACAGTAAAGTGATTTCCAATGAAAATTTATTTTTTTCATTATTAATCTCAAAATATAAATAGTGACTCTCGTAAATCATTGATAAAATTAAGATTTAAGCTATTTACTAAAAATAAACATTAAAATCTCCACAAACAATGCGTCTGTCATTAATATTAGTAAAATCTAGTAGGCTATTTAACAAATTTAGAAAAGTATAAAAGCATACATTAGGGGGCAATAAACATATACCGAAATAACATTGAAACAGTCCAAAAAAATCCAGCAAAATTCACAACAACCTTCCACAGTGAATTCAGATACATCAAAAACTTTAAAATGGATATCTAGTTTACCCCTAATAAAAATTGCTACGCTACCATGTATTAATATCTTTTCCTACAGTAAGATGTACTGGGTGGCGAGGTACTGTGTTGGGGAACCTATCCATAATAGAGTCTTGCGGCAAACAAAGTTCTGACTAAAATCCTGGAAAGTTTTTTCAAGTTTTTGAAATCGCCGCTAGGGGGCGTAACTGCAATCTTGAATCTAAAAAAGTGATGTTGTGACTTCCGCTATATAAACCTAACAAAAAAGTCGAGTTTAGTGTAGAGTTTTTTTATTCAACAATTGTTGCTGTATAGTATGTATAAAAATGAATTGGTGGAGGGTAAAGGGGAAAGGTTTCCGTAAAAAACACCCTGTATCTTCGAAACGGCTAAGGCTAAGCCGATTTTAACAAACTTGGGTTGGTTGAAAAGATCTATTCTTGGGCTACAAATGTTATAACATTTAAAGCTTTGTTAATTTCACATGTGGCCGCTGAAGGGCTTTTTTCGACATTCCGACAGAAATGGTTAATTTTCTCTTGCATTGCAATGCAATGCATTGGTAAGATTTTTATTTATGGGACGCTTACAGGACATCGTGTTTCAGACTCAACCTTCAAGCAGAGAAATTATGAGAGCCAAAATGGAAACGGCCTAAATTTTAGGTTAGGAACAAGATATTGAGATACGATTTTCGCGAGCTTGTTATACGACATCATTTAGCTACTTTTTCATAAAAAATCATACAAATGCAATTATTTACTCATTTATTTTATTTTTTTTGAGAAAATTAACCATTTGTAACAACAGTCCTCTAGTGGCCACATGTGAAACTTACAAAACCTCAAATATTATGAGATTTGTAGACCAAGAATAGCTCTTTTCAACTATCCCAAGTTTTTCAAGATCGGTGTTTTTACGGAAACCTTTGAATACCCCCACCACTTTATTTTTTGAGATACAACAAAAATTTCAAACACAAAAGGTTCAGATTATCCTCGAATTTAAAGATCAGGTATTTTTTGTTAGGTTAATATAGCGGAATTCACAGAAACGTCAGTTTTTTAGATTCAAGATTGCAGTTACGCTCCCCTAGCGGCCATTTCAGAAACTTGAAAATATTTTTCAGGAACCGAGGCAAAATTCAGATTTTGACACTTTTTGCTAATGCGACGATAATTTCACGCAGCTACTTGAAATTCCTCAAATCCGTAGGCTTTATACTTCTAAAAAACGACAACAAAATTGGAGTCGATTGGTCAAGTGAGAATGTCTATTTGTTTATCCCAAAACACCTGTCTTCCGGCCATTACTACTAGATTATTGAGCAATATGCAGGGTTCGTTCAAAGGCAACTCTATAGCAAGATACACGGGTTTAACTTGCCGACATGAATTACAAGCCATTCCGAAAGATAATTGTTATTTTTATACGTTTTTTCTTTTGAGTAATTGAACAGATTCGCTATGATATTCGAAAAACATACCGTATCATACACATTCTAAAACAAAGCGGGTGTGTCTATCACCTTTTGTTGCGAAGAAAAAAAACGTAACCCTTCGTTTTTCGCATAAAAACAAACAATTATCTTTCGGAATGTGACGCCACTAAGTGTGATAAACAATATAAAACTCGGTTCCGAAATTAAGCGCAACCTAAGAGTCTGTAGACGAGGGAAGCAAAGGAAGAGGATTGAAGAGCAAGAGACAGAAGCCCTTAAAAAAAGTAAAAAGATAATAAGAACCCCGACAAAAGATAGAGGTTAAAGAGTTCCTAACAAGGAGATGGAAGAAATAAAAGACATGATGAAAAGTCTTATAGACGAATTTAGGGGGTTTCGGGAGAAAAATCGTAAGTAAATGAGG